TTAAATTAAATCAACTAACCGAGCATTGAGTGCCAGTGCCCCTCCTTGACAAGTAAAATCAGAGTAAAATAATAAAGAAGGGCACATTAGGATGGAATGTAACTTAACAGATTAAATTCATAATATAATTTCAGGCTGAACACATTTGCAGGCTGAAACATTTGTAAACAACAAATGGAAATTGAGTTGACTGCATCTTTAAACAACAAGCTCCCAACAATGTTGTGATTAAATTCGACTGATAAATTAAATGCCATTTATATATTCTTATATTTCATTAATTAAAGCAAAATATTTTAATTGTTCTAGGAGGTTCATGTAGAACCCGAGTCCTAAAAACCTTGGCGAAGAATGTGGTACATTGAGTGATGCAGAAAAAGATTGTGAAATTGACTATGTACATGATTCTGTTGGCTCAGCTATTCCTGTGCCATCAAGTCCTGCTGCTGTGTTCAATTTTAGTGATAATCTCTCACCAATTTTCAAAGAGTCACCATGTAAGGGCTCAGCAGGAAATAACCCAGGTACTCTTGGTGATATTGTCCAAAATATCATCACAGCCTTCAAAAGTGTAGCATGTCCAAAGATTAAAGGAACAATTATTGAACTATTTATAAAAGCTTTTTTATTGAGCTTGGAGGCATGCATGGCTTTATACCAATTTGTGCAGGCAGATTTTCTGGACAAAAGTTTAAATGCCATGAAAACATTGCTGCAAGAGGGCAAGAACTTGCTTTATGGTATGTCATGGTGCTTTGAGAGATGAGAAGATGGCACACCTGAGTGGCTTTGCCACCAGTGCCAAAACATATGTGAGCACATTGGTCAAATTTAGAAAAATTTCTCCCACTCATGCGGGCTCATATTGCCAGCGGACACTCTCCTCCGCAGAGGCTTTGTAGTTTGTTTTCTTTCTATATAAGTTTGACTTGCGAGCAGTAGCGGCTCCAAATGTCCATGATGCCCCCTTTTAACCGCACGCTTGCTCCCCCCGTGTGCCCACTTCTCTACCTAGCCCGCTACTGCCCGCAAGTCAAACTTATAGAAAGAAAGAAAACAAACTCATTCTCATAGAAAGAAAACAAACTACAAAGCCTCTGCGGAGGAGAGTGGTCAGCGGACATCTTACAGAAAGTGGGCAGTTCTGCGCACAGTACACACAGTACATAACCTTATGCACATATTTGTAAATAACAAATAACAATGAATATAGTCATTCATATTTATAAACACGTTAAAAACAGACAAGTTAATTTACTTTACAAATGTTGATTTTTTAATAAGATGGGCTGCATCAAACCAGTTCTATTCAGTATATTTTATGCATTTACATAGCAGACTTGCTAGCTTTGACCACATTAGGATGCCATGAACCTTTTTTGGATATGTTAATTGTGTGATAAAATCCAATTCGCATAAAAGTTGTATGTAGTTTGATGTATTTTATAGACACATGATCAAAGCTAGGGCCGTTCATATGGGGGCTAATATACTGTGTCAGTTCACTTGCAATCAGGGACGCCGGAACGATAAAAAGGCAAGGGGGGCAAACACACACCAAAGGGCACCTCTGTAAACCTCAGTGAAGATAAACCTACAATTATGTGTTGACTTGCCAATGAAAGCAAACGCACTTAATCAGGTCACATTCAAGATCACACCTCATGATTTTGCCCATGCAAAAAGCATCACTGGAAACGTGATTTATCAGGTGTAGTATTTTATAACTTAAAGGGCACTTCTGCCCCCCTTGCCCCTACTAACAAAAGGCAAGAGGGGCAGCTGCCCCTCCTGCCCCCCCAGCGTCCCTGCTTGCAATATAACCAAACTTGTGGAATGCATCAACAGTTTTCACATAAGTTGCAATTGCATTTGGATCATGTAAATTGTCTGGTTCTTTTTCCAACTGCACATAGACTGGCCTATTATACTCATTTAGGTACTCGAACACTTCCTCTAATATTTTCTGTCTTTCACCTGAATGACATGATCCAAGAGCTTTAAGTGGAACAGTGTGCACTTCACTTTCAATTTGCTCTTCTTCAATGCTTTGTCTCGCCATACCTGCTGCACTCTCACCTCTAACCTCGCTTACTTTTGTTATTTTCCATAAAAAATGTACTCAATTCCATCAATTGTAATTTTGCAGTGCGACGTACTTTTAAATTTTCCTGGGCAGATGTCAGTAGATCTTCTAATTAGAGCATGTGCATTGCCAGAGTTTAGCACTACAGTGTACATTTATTCATTTAAATTCTATAGGCAATGGACATAACAGGGAATTAGAAGGTTGATATAGTCCATGAGAACCATGAGTCTGCAATGCTTGTAATGGTCCCAACTATTTCACCTGCAATTACACAAAATAAGTTCATACAAGCGTTATGATGGCCTAAGACCGTAAGTGTAATTAGCTGCAGTCACCACCTTTTGTGTTGTGATAACAAATTTCTATTTTGAACCAAAATGGTCTTTGTGGTTTGTTTGAAGATAATTATCATCATGACTAATTTTTTTTTACAAATACAGCTTTCAAAGATTTTGTGATGTTTTAAGATAGCTACGATAACAATTACTTCAAAGAACAAGTCACAAATTATGATCACCTTTGTCTAAGCAAATCAATCAAAAAACATGTTCATTTTAGGCTAGTATTTACCTACTGGTAAATACTGGATGGTAAATACAGATAAATACTGCTGGTAAATACTGGCTTGTAAATTCACTACTGTACCTGTATATAGTCTGACTTTCTGTTGGCATGTTTGGAAGAGGACCTAAAATGAAGTTATTTTTGTGTCACTTCATTGTACAAGGACAATGTACAAGCTGTAATGCAACTAGATTATTTTACTTTGGTATGCATTAATCAAAATGCAACCAATTACTACCTGCAGGTGAGAAAAGTTATTTTGGTTTATTCCACTTGTTGGGTTGATGTTTCCTGCAGCAAGCTCATTGGCAAAATGCTTGTCCAGGATGCTGATTATTGTGTTAAGAAATTTATTCTGACCATCACAACAAGTGCTAATAACCCAGGACTGCAAATATTTTGGTAGGCTAGGAAGTGGCAAACTACAATGGCAGTGAGTTTACTAGGAGGTAGCAGCTAACTTCTCTGGTAAAATGGAAATTGTTCATCAAAATGTTCATCAACCAGCCCCTCCTTTGTGTTAACAACAGTAAATGGTAACTAATGAAATTCCCATCCTTACCTTCTGCAGATAAGTCAAGTTCGCAAACACAAAGGCTGAATATTTTTGTATCATTTTTGTTTTTAGCTATTAATAGTATCGATACTATTTGAACATTTACTGAGAGTGAACCAAGTTGAGTGCTTACAGTACATAAAATAAAAGCAATCAGAAGCATTTAATTATTATATATTGTTGTATATGCTTTAAGTAAACACTACAAATGGAATCACTCCAGCTTTTTGTATTGAAGATAAGTATTTAGTGAAAATATGTAGTAATTACCTATAAAATAGTCCAATATAGTACCTATATTTATAACTCACCTTTCGAGATATTTGCCATGTTGTGATAAAATTGCTAACGCTTTATGGATCCAACGCGAAGCGTCGACTGCCACAATTCGTCCATAAAATTCGCTGATATGCACCTTATTACCATATTTCTTTATGTGTGGGAATAAAGGCAATTGATTCCCATCGAAGAATATTAAATTAGAGTATTTATTTTCGCTGACACTGATTGTCTCTGATGTTCACTCGGTCAAAGCAAAATGCAAGTTTTCGCGAAGTTTTCGCGTGACTTTCAAATGTTTGTTTTTTTATTTTGAACCTAAATGGTTTACGGGAGGTTTTTTCCTTCCAAGTGCAACTAATGTTTTCAATTTTTCGATTGGGACTATTCTACAATGAAGTACTGTTGGATACTGTAATCTAAATACATATGAAAACGAAGAAGTGGCATTTATCGGGCAGAGAAGCGGCGAGCCATTAAAATGGCGGCAATTTGACAACCAATCAAAGAAGGACACAATATCGAAGATAAAATTCAATGCATTGTTTCAAAACTTGATGAAACTTGGTTGAAATCTTCTTTCGTCATTTATCATTATGTAAAAGTACAATAACTGGATGATATTTGAGAGACTCCGCGATAAAAAGCAAACAAGACGTCAAAATATGGCTGAAATCGTGTTTTCGTGGGAGGGTGAGTGAAATAAAATGTATTATGTTTAAACAAAACAACGACAATCCTTATGAAAACTACAAAAATTATATTAAGTTGAGCATAGTTTTCCATCCCAAGATAATTATTTTTAGGAAATAGGAACATTTAATATCTGCAAGCATATTAGTTATTTTATGCATGATTAGCAATTTACCTGGGGTGGTGCATGGTCATTTTCTTATAAAATATTGTACTTAGACAAATTTTTCCTTCCATTATCCACCCCTAAAAGCAACCCTTCTAAACACTATAAGCACTTTAGAAAGGCTGTCGCTTTTCGTTTTCGGAAGTTAGAGCTATGTCGGCAATGTCGTTTCAGGGCGGGATCATTTTCAGGACTTTCGCCCCGGATTCAATTTTTGGCACATATATGCCACGTTGACCGTAGCCTGCGTGGCAGGCGGTATTTCTACAGGCAGCGAAAATTAGGGAGGCAAATTAAATACCGTCTGCCGCAAAACTAGGGGTTTTTGAATTACCCGTCCGCTGGTGAACGGAAAAAACGGATTGGTTAGTATTTTTATGTAGTTGTCAATCAACGGCTAAATTCGGTTAAATGTTAATCATTAACCAAATGTTTTGACGTTTTGAAACTCTGCGTTTCGAAATTAGTTCACAATCACAAGTCAGCCATGCAGAAATGGAATAACATAATAAAAGAAGCAAATTTAAAGATACAAGCTGAAAAATAACACTCTAAATAGTGTTTTTGATAGCGATTCGAACAAGAATATTTAACAAAGAAGATATGTCCGAAGGGGCCGAAGTTATGATCGGCGAAAGGTATGGGCTAGTCTATATTTTCTTTCAGACAAAACATGCGTATATTAATTTGATAATATACAATCTCGCTTGACTTTCAAAGGCCATAAATCGCAATAATGTTGACATTTTACTAAAACTATCGATAGAAATTAGGAGATATTTCTTCACTGAATCGAACGGTGGGATTTTCATATATAGGCCTATCATGTTCTGAACCAAAGATACTTGATAGATATACGAACCTCCAAAGTATAAACTAGGGGCCGGTTGATGCAGTAATTATCAAACAACAGTTAAACTCTTACATACCCGTTGAATATGTATAGTTGTAAACAAAAAAAAAACTATCGTTCTATAAGGTTCAAAACTTTCAGTTTGGTTGTTGACTGATGATGAATCTATAGTATATACTTGCATGCTTTGTATTTTGAGCTTATTTAAACCACCATTTTAAGGCAGCTAAACGGGCGGCTTGATTTATATTAAAGGCTGCACATAAAATAAATTCCTTGATTCTCATCACCAGACACAGCCTACACTTTGAAATGTCGAAGACAGTGGGAGATTTATTTTCAGTTATATTTTATATTTATAATTTATATATCAATAGTTCGTATTTCCACGAACAATGACAGAATGACAGAGTTTCTATAAGATACAATGAAATTCATTCAAAATTCTGTTTGTTTGGAATTGCAAGTTTAAATTGGCACTAAAAACCCTTATATAAAACATAAAAAAAATTAACTGTCTTGAATTATTTTGTCGGGCGGTGCATTTATATTGTATAACGAAATAT